CAGCAACGAAGACGAAATTAACGAGCCTGTAAAAGATGATGATAATGAAGAAATTTTTATTGAAGACACTGATAAAGAACTGGTTAATGATAATACAAAGGAAGGATACACTCAGAAGGTAATCACAATATATTTTATGCACCATTAAGCTTTTGGAATACTGGTTCTAATTTGTTATTATTTCATTTAGGCAAAATTCATACAGGAAACACTGAAGGAATTCGTAAATTTATCACCAGCTGAAAATGAAATTTCCGACCATTTTAAAAATTTTAATAATATTATTATGGATCTACGTCCACGGTCGAAATTTTCGGATTCCAAACTTCAAGAAAGCGCTTTTCATCTGGTCTTAGATCCTATTGATAATTACATTACTGAGGAAATTAATGATTATCTGAATGAATTTTTCGGAGCCGATCTTAGTCCAAAGGGATGGGATGAAGCTGTAAATAAGTTATATTTCAATGAAACAGATTCTGATCTTTTAAAAAATGTAAAGAAATTGATGAAAGCCACTCTTCCAAAATTGTAAGTTATGTTCTAAAATTCAATTATTAATGTAACAGTTAACTTATTTTCTATTATTTCAGTTTGAAGGCGTTTATTTTGGGTGCTACCAATCCTTTGAGAGATGCATCAACATTTGAAAAGCCACATCTTAATCAATTTGTTCACCCTCTCATTGATTCTGCTTTTTGGATATTTGCTAATATTAATTATGTTTTGTAAGTAGCTTGATTTCTTTGATTTTCTAAATTTAATTTATTGATTAATATGCATCGTATTTTGTAGTGGGGAGATGATACCTGATAAAGGAATCAAAATACGAGCGGATGGAGTAGGATTTCTAACTCAAAGTCCAAATTACGCAATTGTTTGTGGTGAAGGAGCGAGGCCTAAAGAATCGGAAAAAAGTTTTTTAAATGAAGATAATAAGAACATGCTCGTACTATATAATCAAATTCTTATATCAGAAGTTAAAGCACGAAGATCGCTTTTTTGTGATCTGCGAGTATATGGATGGACGGCATCCAAAACAAACGTCTCCTTAACAATGTTAGATCACCGTAGTATGTATCTTGCTTAAATGTTGTAATCTATT